GCAACCCTCATCAATGTGATTCACACCTTTATGAAAGAAACTGAAGGGAGTGTCGTTACCACTTTAGGTATTTACAGCGACACACGGAAGATGCCGTCTATGAGGAACAGGCCTTCACCAGGCACCAAATCTGTTGGCATCTTGATCTTGGACTTCCCTGCCTCCAGAACTGTGAGCAATACATTTCTGTTATTTACAAATTAATCAGTCTGAGGTATTCTGTTATAGGTGGCTGCCTAATGGGGCAGATGATTGGGAACAAGTTTCCATACTTATGCTACATGGCTAAACTCTCCACTTTCATGTTTTATTGCAATGGTAACAGTGTGTAGGCTTACCACGCTTTTGCATTTAGATAGAACACTTCTAATGCTTCACCACTGAGTATGGCGTTTGCTTTAGGTTTCTGATAAGTCACGTTTTTTAAACTATTGAAACTGCCTTCTATTCTTAGGTATCCAGGATTTTTTAAATGTCATAACCAAATGTTGATTATCATTTGGTTATTATTCCCTATTCTCTTGCTATGGTGAGTGACATCTTTTCCTAAGATTTAACTATTTTCACATTTCTGTGATAAACTGTACTTATCATAATGTATTAGTATTTTCATACACTTGGATCTGATTGGCCAGTATGTGATTTGTTTTTGTTCACAATTATGATAGCTTCTAATTTCCTTTCTTGTGCTGTTTGTTTTGTAGTATCAGTTTTGTGTTTGCCCATAGAATAATTTAGTCAGTAATAGGTTTTTAGTGCTTCAGATGGAAAGGCACTTCAGAGACATGGACATGTTGGTTTGATGAAGCCAAGCCTGCAGCAAGTCTGGGAGTTCCGGAATTTATGAATTATTCCATGTGTGTTAGAGGAGGGTCATTTTCTGTTGTCAGAGCCCAAGACATGAAATCCATGTTCAAAATCCTTTCCAGTGTCTCTTCACGTGACCCTCCAAGTCCGGCCCTCAGGCTGCCACACAGCTCCTGGAAATCCTGACATACTTGGTTTTAGAAGACTGCTTTCTAGACTCCAAGTGGAACCTCAAATTTTCGATTTTCTTTGTTTTAAAAGCCTACACATAGGTGATGAGATATATACATGCATGTCTATTTTTGAGAATTTATAATTCTGAAAACAGTGCTGGTCTCATAGAACCCATACATTCTGTTTCCCCGTGTGGGCTCCGAGCTGTGGTGGCACGTGACAAGGGTCCTTCCAGCAGTGGCACACAGCCCTGGGCTGCTTACCTGCTCACCCTGTTTACAAGATCAAGAAATAGGCCGGGCTCGGTGGCTCAAGCCTGTAATCCCAGCACTTTGGGAGGCCGAGGCGGGTGGATCACGAGGTCGAGAGATCGAGACCATCTTGGTCAACATAGTGAAACCCTGTCTCTACTAAAAATACAAAACACTAGCTGGGCATGGTGGCACGTGCCTGTAATCCCAGCTACTTAGGAGGCTGAGGCAGGAGAATTGCCTGAGCCCAGGAGGCAGAGGTTGCGGTGAGCCAAGATCGCACCATTGCACTCCAGCCTGGGTAACGAGAGCGAAACTCCGTCTCAAAAAAAAAAAAAAAAAAAAAAAAAAAAAAAAAAAAAAAAAAGAAATACACACTCTGTGTTTTGAAGTCATTATTATTTGGGGATTTCCATCACTCACACCCCTGATCGCGGTGGCCTGTTTTAGCAATCCCGTTTGCTCAGTAAACACGCTCCCCTGTTAGTTTGGAGCCTGCATTTATTGTGTGCTAAGTCCTGTTTCTCTTCAGTGCTGTGGTCTCCTTCTTTCCTGCTCTCTTAATCATGGGATCGCCGACCAACCGCTCTGTGTGTCTGTACCGCCTACAGCCTCTGGCCTTGGTACTGTTCTTCGAAATGGTATTTCTAACCTTCCTGTGACTTCACTCAGTCAGGCTCCCACAGTTTGTCACTCAGCTGCTCTCTTTCTGAACTAGCTCACACCCAGATACACTTGTGTCATCTGCCTTTCCCCTCATAAACCTGGGCTGCTTCTGGGGAAAACCCGCCACCAAACTCGTGCAGATCTCTGCAGATGTGTAATGGCCTGCCTTAGCCATGACCTCCACAATGCTGGGCTCTCATGTCATGTCCCCAAGACATCCCTTCTCTCTTGTCTTTAGGGATAGTCCTAAGCTTCCATCCTGACACTCAAAGTCCAGCCTTATTTGTACCCTCATTCTCTGAGCAGACACCACTGTATTCTGTCTCGCAGAGAAAATGTGACTGCAGGGGATGAATTCTTTCGACTTTCTGGCCCCTTCCCATGCCTGGTCTTTCTCCGTATTCTTGCCTGTTGCTCTTTCAGGTTGATAGAAGTGTCTGTTCTCCTTGTCAGCGTCCCAGCCTTGGATCTGTCCCCTGTTCCGTTCTGCCTGTGTAGGAGAGACCTTCCCTAACCAACCGGGCCACCATCTCCTGCTTCTCCAATCCCTCACTCTGGACGGACTCCTAACCTTTGGTCAACAAAGACTCAAGCTTTTACATTCATAATGGAGCATCTGTGTTGAACCCTGTTCTTTTCTAGACACTACCCTCTCTTCTGCCTTCCATCCATGGTGATTCTTCTAGAAAGAGCATCTATCACACTGGAGACAGCAAATTCCTTGATCCATTCTAACTCCTAATCCTGCAATAATTTCGTATCTCCCCTACTCAGGTAGTGCTCCTAGTATTACCAGAGACCAGACAATTCCCAATTTAGTTTTCCATATTCACGTTTCTTGACTTCCTGTTATTTTACATCACAGATTGCATCGTTCATTTGAAGAGACTTCAATGGAAGGTTGTTAGGGAAACTCTCTCACAGGGCTGACCTCCTATCTCACTTGCTGTTTCTGAATGGAGTTCCCACTTATGCCTGCCTTAACAAAAGTAATGCTCCCCAAACTCCAGCCCAGGTTGTGAATTGGAAGCAGCTGGGGCTATGGTTTCTGGGTGCTGGGATGAAAGGACGATGTGAACACACAGCCTGTGATGGGCAGAAAGATGTGCATGTGGGCAGAGCCTGCCAGGTGCTGGTGATCCTGCCCAGTCCTGAGTAGCTAGGGCCCTCCCTGCCCACTGTCCCCAGAATGGACTTTGGCCTCAGGTTTGAATTGTTCAGATGTGACCGAGATGGGCCTGTCCCCCATGCCTCAGGAATAGTGAAGAAACTCTTATCTGGAAGGTTCCCTACCCAGCAGCCTCTGGTGTTAGACCAGATAGTGGCTGGCCAGGATGATGGGGACAGAAGGGAGACAAAGGTGGACAGTGGGTGGGGTCACATCCTCCCTGACACTGAATAGTCAACATGGGGAGAAAGGATGAGCGATCTTTAGAACGTTCACAGAAAATGCGTATCAGGAAAAAGAATGCATGGATTTCACATTTTTTGCAACAAAATAAACTTGTACTAACTTGTGAAAACATGTCTGAACAGGATCTAGTTTGAGGCCCTAAGAAGTATAAGACAATAATTTGAAAAGAATTCCTATCAGACAACAGGAATTCTGCTAAAATTGAAGCCAGAACAAACATGCAATTGATGGTGAAGCTTGGCCGCAGAAATGGTGAAATCATTGATGCTTTGTTGAAAGTTTATAGGGACAGTGCCCCAAAGAAATCAGCAGTTTAAGTAAGTGGATAACTCACTGGAGCAAGGGATGAGACGATGTTGGAGAGGAAGCCACATCAGTCTGTGAGGAGCAATTCGTCTTGTTTGTGCCCTAAGTTAAGCGGCCTGATTAACAGCAGTAGAAACAATGGGCATCCCTACTGTTAGAAGGTGTAGGCATCCCAAGGTGTTCGTATCACAGAGTCCTGCCTGGAGTTAAAGTTGCGTAAACTTTCCACTCCGTGGGTGCCAAAACTGTTTGTCCCAACTTAGCTGCACATGGCGAAAAGCTTTCTGTGGCGATTTTAACAAGTGGACTCAAGATCCTGAAGCATTTCTTCAAAGAATTACAGCAGGAGATAGAACGGCTTAACCGGTATAACCCTGACGACAAGCAGAAGCAAAGGAGTGATACCGAGAGGCGGACGTGGCCCCGTGAGAGCAAAAGCGGACATGTCCAGAGCGGAGGTCACGGCAGCAGCTTTGTGGGTGCTCAGGGCACCTTGCTTACTGACTTTCTGGAGGGCCAAAGAATAGTGACCTCTCATTATGAGAGTGTATTGAGAAAGTCAGCCAACGATTTCGCAAGAAAATGCCCAGGAAAGCTTCGCCCCGGAAAGCTTTACCAGAGAGCCTTTGTTCACCATGACGGTGCTCCCGCTCCTCCCTCCACCGAGACGGTGCTCCCGCTCCTCCCTCCACCGTGACGCTGCTCCCGCTCCTCCCTCCACCGTGACGGTGCTCCCGCTCCTCCCTCCACCGTGACGCTGCTCCCGCTCCTCCCTCCACCGTGACGCTGCTCCCGCTCCTCCCTCCACCGTGACGGTGCTCCCGCTCCCCCCTCCACCGTGACAGGGCTCCTGCTAATTTCACTCATCAAACAAGGGGAGTTTTGTGCCAGTTTCAGTGGGAAGTTATTAGGCATCCACCTTGCAGGCCTGATTTGGTTATTTCTGTTTTCTAATTAAAAAAAAATCTTTAAAGGGCATCCACTTTTCCTTAGTTAATAACGGAACAAAGACTGAATTGACATGGTTAAATTCCCAGGACGCCCACTTCTTTCGGGATGAACTCAATGACTGTACCATTACTTACAAGAGTGTCTTGACCTTGATGGAGCTCATGCTGAGAAATATATTTGTAAATTTTTATCTTTTAATTCCATTTTTCTGTGAACTTTTGAATTCCATGAGCTCCCCTTGTATTTGTTTTGGGTGGAACTTTGAGTCTGGGTTCTCAGCTCTCCATGGATGGCTGCATCTTGAAATGAAAGCCATGTTGCTCACTACTTGGCCCGAGTATCAGATATTGAACACACACGTGGGCGAATTTATGAATCTGTCCACCTGTGCCAGCTGGTGGGTGAAGTCTGAGTTTCTTCAACAGAATTAGTGATCTGCCTCCTGGGATGTGGTGGGAAAGGCGGAGGACAGGCAGCCATCCCCGGTGCCTCCACCACTGGAATGGGGGCATCCCTCTGTGTGTCCCACCACCCCCCGTGCTGAGGAGTCCTTCACTCCAGGGCTGTCTTCACCCCAGTCATTCAGACTCCCCTAGTGTTCCTGCTTCACCTGAACGGTCAGAAGCATCTGAGCACGTGCTCTCGTGAGTGGTCAGGCTTCCCTCCCCACCAGTACTGAAGCCCCCAGGGGCAGAGCGGAGTCCAGCAAAAGAGTGGCCATCAGCCATCAGTGAGTTACAAGGTTTGATTTCAAAGAGAAAAACGTGTCGCCAGAATCACTACCAGGAGACCTTGCTCTGAATGTGAGCTGAAGAGCCCTTGAGGGTAAAGAGCGAACTGCACCTGATCCCTCCCCTCCCATCCCAAGACCCCTGGCAAGTCAAACCAAGAGGTAATCAACAGAAAACAAGTTTAATGCAGCAGGTTACAACGGTGTGGAGTGCGGCCATGCTCCCGAAGGCTCAGTTCATACAGTCCTGTGTCAAGGCAGGCTGAGGCCAGCTGCGGCGGAGGCCAGCAGCAGGAGGGCGGTCAGCCCCAGCCTGCCACAGCTCCTCTCACTGGAGCTGTCAGCATAGTCTTTGAACACTGATAGGTTCACCGATGGCCCGTATAAATTGCAATAGCGAAGTTTACAACACTTGAGGTAAAAGAAGGGCATGGGCGCTTCCAGGAGAAACGGCTTCTGCGCTGGCTTGGGTCTCTCAATCGCTGCACAAGAAGCAGAGCACTGCTTTGAAATCATGAAAAAACGTGGAAATATTTCTAATAGGAAATAAAGACCGAGAGAAGGAAATTACACAGTTGCAGTGGCTGCCACCGAGGCCTTTCTGTCTTGGTCAAACCCTCTCCCCTGGCGGCCCTGCTTAGCGGTGCAGGGGTGTCAAGGGGGAGTCAGGAGCATGAGGGCCAGGCCTGTGTGTTGAATGCCGCTTCGGGAGGGGCCGGCTTCTGCATGGTGTGGCCTGTCCACGTGCACTGGGAATGTGGGTCTAGGGGTCGCTGCTTGGGAACACACAGGTCTCAATTTCTCAAACACAGGGTTGGCTCAGGCCTTTGTGACCACAGACAGACACATGACCCCCAGCCATCCTGGCCATCACCCAGGGCATGGAGCTGGCCTCTCAGTGGCCTGGCTCAGCTCTGAGCTGGGGGTCTTGTCTCATGACCACACTTCGTCTTACACATCATTGTACTAATCATTTTACCATATTCAGTGATAAAGTCAACGTTGGCTACACTGAGTCTGAAGCATTGCCCGCGTGCCCCACCAGCTTCGTGGATGCTGAAGGGCTGGAGAGCAAATGCTGGGTGGAATCCGAACTCACACGCCCTGAAGATGGCCCTGTGGGCAGGATGTGCTGGGAGTCCAGAGGCCCCTTGGGGAGGGCTTCACGTGCCCATAACGCTTTCGGGGGACTCACGGATGACAGAGCAGCGGTCTCCACGGTACACACCTGAAGGCGGTACCCCTGAGTTCTATGCGTCTTGTGAGTGACGCAGGCACTGTGCTCAGTGGAGCAGTTAACATTATTAAAGCTTTTTTCATTTAAAAACGGATGACGTGAAATCCAGATCTTCTTCCTGCCTCCCAGTATTTCATCTGGACCCACTACAGCGGGCACTGCCTTACACTGGCACAGTTCCTAGGGACTGAGCCCCACCCCACTCCCCTTCACCTCTTCCTGGCTTCTCAGGACTTTGCTCTTCATATTTTACTTGGCGGGGGGGGGGGGAAGGCTACTTTCTATTAGTTATTCCCTGTTGAGGGAAACTAGACCGGATTCCTGAAAGCCCTCTGCTCACGGGCCTCTGGGGCCCCAGCAAGAGCGAGGATACTCACTCACGGCCGCTATAACGCAGTATGTCTCGTCCACTTTGCACATCCTTGGGTTCTCACAGGTGAAAGTGTTTTCTCTCTCACAAACGTGACACCAGATTCTATCCTCACCTGTGTCTGAAAGGAGACAGAAGAGCAGAATGTTGTAGTTCTCCATGCGGATCTCATGAACACAGCTGGCATCCAAGGCAGCACAAACTCGGGGGTCCCGACGTTTCCCCCGCTGAGCAGTGGCTGGGGCCACATCCTCCCTGACTCGGAGTGAACCGCAAAGGGAGGAAGCAGGAGGGCTCTCAGGCCACGGAAGAGACGCCCGCTTCCCCTGCACCTTCCTCCATGACTAGAAGCGTCCCGAGGCCCCCCTAGAAGCCAGCACCACGCTTCGTGGACAGCCTGTGGAATTCTGAGCCAATTAGATCGTTTTCTTTATAAATTGCCCAGCCTCCGGCCTTCTCTACAGCCTGAGTGATTTGTCTTCTCTCCTGGGGGCTCCCCACCCTCCCACAAAGGGTCTCCCTCAGGCAGCACATCCAAGCACAGCATGAGCTCATGGGGCACCCCTACTCGGCCGCGGCACCCTAACCCCAGGCACCCCGCATCTCCCGGCCAACAGCTGCGGAAGAGACCCGGGGGCTTGGGTCTGATCCCACGTGCGCCCCGCCCACCTTCCAGTCCACCGACCTCATCCCAGCTCCTTCAAAGAAGTCCTCCCTTGGGTCCGGGTTGGGCCCGGCCTACCTCTGCCAGGGGAATCGGTCCTCCTCCCGCGGCCTGAACAGTTCTCAGCCCGTGAAGCTCCAGAAGGCCAGGCTGGGGGCACGGGGAGGGGCGCCTCCAGCCCGAGGGCTCCCAAGAAGGCTCGGCCAGGAGCAGGGCAAGGGCTGGGGAAGGGCCGGGCTCAGGCTGTCCCGCTGCCCTGGGGGAAGCCGCAGGAGGAGAGGCTCCCCGGAGGCTTCCAGGCGCCATGGGCCCCCAGCGCTCCCTGTTCTCGCGGTTCAGTGGGGGCAGCGGCCACGCGGTGCTGGGCAAATGCCACCTGGCCCGTCCCCCCCCTCGGCCCGTCCCCCCCCCGGCCCGTCCCCCCTTCGGCCCGTTCCCCCCTTCGGCCCGTTCCCCCCTTCGGCCCGTCCCCCCCTCGGCCCGTCCCCCCCCCGGCCCGTCCCCCCCTCGGCCCGTCCCCCCCTTCGGCCCGTCCCCCCCCCCCGGCCCGTCCCCCCCCCCCGGCCCGTCCCCCCCCCCCGGCCCGTCCCCCCCCCCCGGCCCGTCCCCCCCCCCCGGCCCGTCCCCCCCCCCCGGCCCGTCCCCCCCCTCGGCCCGTCCCCCTTCAGCCCGTCCCCCCTCGGCCCGTCCCCCCTCGGCCCGTCCCCCCCTCGGCCCGTCCCCCCCTCGGCCCGTCCCCCCCTCGGCCCGTTCCCCCCCTCGGCCCGTTCCCCCCCTCGGCCCGTCCCCCCCTCGGCCCGTCCCCCCTTCAGCCCGTTCCCCCTCGGCCCGTCCCCCCTCGGCCCGTCCCCCCTCGGCCCGTCCTCCCTGCCCGCGGCTGCTCGGGCCAGCCCAGGCTCACCCGTCTGCGGCGTGTCCTCCGGATCTGCTTGTCTCGCAGTCAGGTTGTTGTCTGTCCACACCCGCGCTAGGGCCACGGCCAGGAGGAGCAAGGCGAGCAGCGCCATCGTCCCCGGCGGCGCCCTGTGACGGTCAGCGCGCGACGCCCCCTCCCGGCCCTTCCGGAACCTTCGCGCGCCCGGGTCTGGCCGCTAGGGGGCGCTGCGCCTTCCCGGGGCCTGCGCAGGGCGTGACCGGGGAGACCCCCGACCCCCGACCCCTGACCCCCGGGCCCCGCCTGTCCCGGGAGCCCCCACCCCCGGCGCCCGGGCCCCGCCTGTCCTGGGACCCCCCACCCCCGGCGCCCGGGCCCCGCCTGTCCTGGGACCCCCCACCCCCGGCGCCCGGGCCCCGCCTGTCCCGGGAGCCCCCCACCCCCGACGCCCGGGCCCCGCCTGTCCCGGGAGCCCCCCCACCCCCGGCGCCCGGGCCCCGCCTGCGGGTTCTGGGCCCCCCGTGTGCTGGCGTTGGAGCCGTGGCAGCCAGGCTGGAGGGGCGTGGGAGCCCTGGGAAAGCACGTTCGGAAAGGCAGCCCCTGAGCCCAAGGGCCGCTCTTTGGGGACCCCACAGTCCATGGAAAGTGCGCAGTGGCCAGGCCAGGGATTTTCCCCGCCCGAGAGCACGCGCGCAGTTCTAATAACTCGCCCCTTAATAGCTTTTAGCTCGTTATAATACCAAAAACACACACCCGGGGGGAGATTTTAGATGCCATTGAAACACCCGTGCGCACTCGCGTGTGAGGTCACGGCGCATGCGTTTCCAGAGGACTTCCCAAAACGGGCTCACTAGTGAGGCCCCTGCATGGCCCTTCATGAATAATCCTGCAAGACGCTCATCTAGAGGGTCTCCCAGCGTGGGTGGGGGATGTACTGTTTTCCTTAACTGAAAGCTCCAGGGAAAGAACGCTCTAGTCTTTGGCTCTGTCTCCCGGGTGTCTTCTGTCTTGTCCTCCGAGCGCCTGCCTCCTTAAATAAAGGTTTCTCAGCCCTTTACGTCGTACTGTGCGTCTCCTATCTGAATTATTTCCTCCAGGAAGACGGAGAACTGGAGATTTCCATGCCTCTCACGGTGACGGAGCTACCCAAACATCAGGGGGTGTCCTCTAGGTCCGCTGCCCTGCACAGAAGGCCAGTCACCAAGAGCAATTCCAGGGACGAAGGCCTCATTCCAGTGCTACAGCCCAGAGGTGGGCACCCACTCACAAATCCCTCTCCTCAACCCACTAAAATTAGGAGTTTCTAGACCAGGGAAGAAATGTCACCCTGTGTGGGAAAATAGGAATTAGAGAGAGAGAGAGAGGAGGCGGCTAGGCAATCATGACAGGTGAGGGGTCTGGCCTGGAGGACCTGGCAAGTTTCAGTGCCTTGATACTGTCTGGGGGGCCTGATGGTTGGTTTCCTGAGAAAGGAACTCAGGTAAGACACATGTAACTTTCCCAGGTTTTAAGATAGGGTGAGTCAGTTTCTGTTTATTCAAAAGAAACCCTACATACTAGTTTTACAGGAAATTGGGCCAGTCTGAGTAAGTCCCCA